GCCAGTGACTAACACATGTGTGAAGTCAGAATGACATGAATGATTGGACGTTTCGATTTACCCGTCATCTCAATTGTAACGTACAAAGGAAAGGACTGGGGTTCATCTATCATTTCCCATCATTTCGGCAAACCTACTCTCCGAAAAACGAGGGGCCTATCTGTATATGGGTAAAATCAGGGGTAATGCATACCCCAATTTCTCAGTAAAGAAAATGGAAGAAGGGCATGGAGGCACGAGATCGAAATCGAGGCTAGGAGCCCTTCGTATCGAGACCCATAGAAAGTGAACGATGTGTTCATCATCGGGCATAATAAAGCGACGCTCCCCGGACCCAGGACGAGCTCTAAAACCTCGAGAAACACGGTAAACAGTTACATACGGCGGATAGAGAGCCGTGATATTTGTACCTAACCGGATATCACAGTGCAGATCTCGCTCGATGTCAGTTACGGATCAGTAATTAACGGAAAAGGAAGATTTTTACCTTTTTAAAACTTGTACTTAGGGATGAAACTCTCCTACTATATAAAGGGGAATTTTTCTTTTGTAACACACATTGTAACACGCGAATCAAGGCAATACAAATTCGTTTTCTACTTTCTAGCTACGGCAAAAGTTTTTATTTAACTGTTCTGTTCTTCATTCACAATTGGGCTCGAACCAAGGGTCCGATAGAGGGCAAAATTACTGTTCAACCTAGGTTTGGGCTAGACCATAACATTACAATTGGTTTGATCGTTTATTTTGTCTTTAACTCATTTATCTAATATTTTTGATTATTTGTGTTGAATCAATCCGTGTATCATTAAAACAGCGTACAAATTTAATTATTATCTGATTTAAGGATAAACAATAGATCAACCCACTATTGAAACATATTATAAACACATTCATATCGTTTATTATAGACTGAGTTAAAATCTATTATAAACATAAATATGAAATATCCATCAATAACCTCAAGCTCAAATCCAAAACTTCCCTCAAAACCACCTTAAATCTTCTCTAAACTTCCTAAAATTTGGAAAAATGGTCAGTAACCAATTAGTAGAGCTTTTGGAATTGTAACCTTCTAGCACTAGCTTTGGCAAAATTATCAGCAACCAAATGGAATTAAAGTTAATTCTAACTCTTCAACATTTTCCTATCAACAAATATCTTTTAGCTCAAACAACGAAAATGGCGACGAGACATTTCACACGCTCACTGTGTGAATACTGAACACTAAAATAAAATGTTGAGTGCACTTAAGTTGCAGCTACCGTCGCCGGTGCTCGACACAAATTCCGTCCAAGGAGTCACCGAAAACTTGGATTTCGTCCGACGGTTTAGCATCCTATTGCCGCAACGATAATTGGCGTCTCTTTTCGTAGAATCGAAAAATGCTTCATCATCTGAGCCGTTGGTTACCTCTTATTTGAATTCCACCGTTGGATCTTCTTCCTCGGCGGTTCAACTCTCTCAGTGGGCTCTAACTCATCGCCATATTCATATCCCCAATTTCATTGCTTGCACTGCAACAATTTCAGCAACCTGGCCGTTTTCCCCTCAATTCCAACCCTTGTGGCTTTTATAGAACATGTTTAGCCAAGCTTCAAAAATAAATTTATTTTGAGAAATATATTTTTTAAAAATATTATTCTCAAAAGTCCTTTCAGCGAGAAATAATTTGTGTTTAACTAATTAATTTGAAAGACACTTTTGAGTAGTAATTAATATTTGATCAAGCTTTTAAAAATTATTTTTAAAAGTATTTTTCTCAAAAGTATTTTTCAAAAAAGTGATTTTTTAGAGAGAATCTTACTTTTTTTTATTTTTTCAAAACTACTTTTGTTTCTCCTCAAAAATACTTTTTTTCTTTCAAAAGTTTGGCCAAATATTTCAACTTTTTTTTAAAGAAAAATATTTTTTTTGAAAAAAATACTTCTAAAATTTGAAAAGTTTGGCCAAACATACTATTAGTCGAGCTGCAGAGTCACTAATTGCTATTTAAATTTGTACCAGAAGTTTTAAAATGTTCAAAATAGCCCCCGACCAAACTTAACCCCCAAAATAAATGAAAAATAAAGAGGGATCCAAACTTTTAAATAAACTCTTGATGGGCTCTAGCCATAATATATCTCTATAAACTTACTGCTCCTACTTTAGAAGTTGGGCCGGCTCCAACCTTATGTGTAGTAAGGCGTGTGCCTTAGGCCCCCAAATTTAGGGGGACCATTTTTAAAAACTAATCTGTCCATAGGTATTTAAAACAATAACAACAACAACAACAATAACAACAACCCAGTAAAATCCCACTAATGGGGTCTGGGGAGGGTAGTGTGTACGCAGACCTTACCCCTAACCCGAAGGAGTAGAGAGGCTATTTTCGAAAGACCCTCGGCTCAAAAAACAAAAAGACAAAAGGACAAAAAGGGGGAGACAATATTAGTATCACAACAACAATCATAGGATAAATAGGAACACCATGAAATCGAGAAGAAAGATGCAAAGCAAAGGGAGACAATATTAGTAAATATTAGTATCACCACAACAGTCATAAGAAAAACATGAACACCATGAAATCTAGAAGAAAGATGCAAAACAAAAGCGATAGCTAGTAAATAGGACATGCACTGAAAAGCGAAATAGTAAGCCACAACATTCTCACTAGCTATCTTAGACAAAAACCCTACATGGCTAATCCCACCATGGTACGAAGTAAGGCACGACTCAACTACCTCTTAACCTACAACCCTAATACTCGACCTCCACATCTTCCTATCAAGTGTCATGTCCTCGAAAATCTGGAGCCTCGCCATATCCTGCCTGATCACATCTTCCCAATACTTCTTAGGCCGCCCTCTACCTCTTCTCGTGCCCTCCGCAATCAGCTGCTCACACCTCCGTATNTCTCCCCTCCCCCCTAGATAACCGAACCAAGGTACTTGAAGCTGCCTCTACTCGGGATGACCTACGAATCAAGCCTCACATCTACGCCCACTTTCCCTGGCTCAGCGCTGAACTTACACTCCAGGTATTCCGTCTTCGTCCTGCTCAGCTTGAAACCCTTAGACTCAAGAGCCTGTCTCCAAACCTTCAGCCTCTCGTTAACACCGGCTCGCGACTCATCAATCAGAATTATGTCATCGGCGAATAGCATGCACTATGGCACATCCCCTTGAATATGGTGTGTTAACGCGTCCATCACCAGGGCGAATAAGAACGGACTGAGCGCAGAACCTTGGTGTAACCCCATTACAATCGAAAAATGCTCAGAGTCGCCTACTACTATCCTAACTCGAGTCTTAGCCCCATCATACATGTCCTTAATCGCCATAATATAGGGAACCGATACACCTTTTGCCTCCAGGCATCTCCAGAGAATTTCTCTAGGAACCTTGTCATACGCTTTCTCTAGGTCAATAAACACCATGTGCAGATCCTTCTTCCTCTCTCTGTATAGGTATTTAAAAAATAATATTTAATATTTTTAATACAAACTAGAGTTTTTAATATAAAGGAAGGATAACTTTTTAGATATATAAATAAAATAATAATTTATCTTACTTGAAAATGTGTAGATGAATAGTTTTCATAACTTTGTTTTTCATTTTATACTCCTTCATAAAAAAAATTACTCTCTCTTCCTTAATTTGTCTAAATCAATCTTTCTTTTTTTCCAATCTCTTTATATTTCAGAAAACCCTATATATTTTTGTGTTTTTCTTTGATATTCTTACTCACCTTCTTTTTTCAAGATTTCACTAGTTTACGTGCTCAGCAATACTTTTAAAATTTCAATAGTTCTATACTTCTACTGCATTATAAAATCTTATCTAAGATCAACAATATCTTAAGAAAGATTAGATATATTGACTATATTATCAAGCAAGCAAGAATTATTAGAGAAAATGGATTATATAAAAAATTATTAACAACTTTATATATCAAAAAGTTAGAAGAATAGACTTCAAATAAAAATATATCTGATAATTTTCTTTTAAACATTTAAGCCTCATATTAAATTTTGGCTTTAGGCCCTGTATGTGCTTGAGCCGCCTTTAGAAGGAAATCAAGATTCAAGACCAGCATGTGGAGAGCATCTTTCAATTGAAAAATTGAAAGTTTGTGTCAATTTCTTTGTTTCAAATAGGATAAAGTATGTAGACAGTAGTGTCATGACTCAAATCTGGCATCTATTTGCAGAACTTATTTTATATACACTTCCACATACTCTTACGGCATATGTTTTTACTAATCCCTTGAAAGACCTCAAAATGAATATGTTTGTAACAAGCTTGGAGCCTATGATACCTACACCTCACCTCGAGTGGGTTGTCATTGTTGTGCATTTAAACTAATTAGGATTGATTTGACTTGTTAGGTTTGATTTAATTCAATTAGTGCAAGATTAATTAGTAGTTTACCAAAGTTGTGTACATTGTTATTATGATACTTGATTTTTTTATTTTTTATTTTTAAAAAACTGATTGTTGTGAACTCCTAACCAAGCTTATGGGGAATAATCAAGGATTCATTCTTGAATTCACTATAATTCTCCAAAAATTAAAGAATTGAGCAAAGATAAAAAGATCACGGAAATTAATGCCCTATTCATTTGTTCTTTCTTACTTTAAAGGCACTTAACAATTTAATGGAATTGAAAAGATTGTGGTTTTAGCCAATATGGGAATTTTGTTTATTAAAAGTAAGTTGTAACAAGATTTGTTCATTTTGGCATTTGATCCATGTTGACAGAAATGTGTCAGATTACCAAGTACATAATTAAATTAAAAAAACAATATTATACTAGATAATTTAGAATCTTAAAATCTTACTACTGAAGCTAGTAGAATTAGTATTACCTCTGTTTAAAGAGTTAAGAATAGTTCAAGTATAAAATGCAGTAACCGAAGTATAAAAGAACTTTGCATGAAGCAATGGCTTTAGTTGCAAATTGCAATGGCTCTGAAGAAATAGAAAAATTAAAAAGAAAAACTGAATACACTAAAACAGATCGCAACAGAACAAGAAAAGCCTTGATATTCAGGACTAGTTGATTTAACCACATCAATAAAGCAGTGATTCCAGCAAATCACTGCTGTCACAGATCTAACCAAAATTGGAAGTAGCCAGTACCCATCTGTATACAATGTATATCAGCTAGAATTTCGTATATATACACAAACAACGGACCAAATAAAATATACACAATATTAGTCTACTATCCTGGCATCTACTAATCTTGTAAAATGCCATCAATTGCTCCAAATCAACTCGAAAATCTTTTTGCTAGCAGTTGCATTGACTAAGTTGTTGCTCTGCTCCTTGAGCATTTCCTCTTGCGCACGAACATCGCCATCCTTCAAAAAGCCACATTAGGATCCCCCAAAATAAGAAATCTTTCTTGGATGATCTTTAATGAGAACTACTAGTTTGAGACTTTGCAAAGAGAAAGACTACTAATTCAGAAGATCCAGGAAATCTTAATACACTACATAATGTAAGGATTACTAAGGTGCAGATTAGCCTCTAACGAATTTGTTGCTAAATTTAAGGATAAATTTCACAGATATCTGAGATAAAGGATTTTAAAGGCTGCTCAACCCANGATTTTAAAGGCTACTCAACCCAATGTTACTGCCCATTTGATGCCTTTACTTCAGCATGCAATGCTAGAATCTCTTTAGAATGAATAATCTTGAGGCATGTCCAAACATCTTTGGTCGAGAATAAGGCTTTTGCATGAATTAGCCCAATCGTGTGAAATACTCTAAATGGATGAAGTACTCTACTGTTCTCTGCTACTTTTAATCTTTTTTCCTCTTTAGCCAAAAAATGTGGGACTTTGTTCTAAAACGAAGGATATTCTTATCTTTCTACTCAAATACAGGGGTCAAACAGAAAGCACTGGCAGCAACTCACAAGCAACGAGTAAGCACGCGCAAGAGATGAAAGTGTTGGATACATATCAAGAACAGCAATAGCAACTTCCTCTGTCACTTGTGGGACCTGCATGCATTGTAATCACTCCATTAAATTGAGCTAACTGATTGAATTCATGGCTAATAAATACACCATTTCCCTAACTTGGTGGAGGTGTTTTTACATGGAAACACCAAATATGCTTAGGTGACCCACCAAAGTACAAGGATATGTAAACATATATGCAAATCTCTTCTCTCGTTTCACAACACCCAGCCCCTTAGAAACATCATCAACAAACCTTGCCCTACTTCCTACCCAGCCGTCCCCTAGAAAACAACCTTCCGGGATATGAATCAATTAAACAAAGTTGAGCAACAGAGACCTAGAAGTACATAAAATTCATGATTGTCACCAAGCAGCAAATTCTAACAACCAAAGATTTTAAAACTCGTATCTTTATTTGTAAGGGAACTTAAATATATTCCAATTTTGACGTGAAAATTCCTACCTGCATGAGTTGGGTGGCAAACACATCGCTTACTGTCATTTTATCGAGATCCTCACACCTCCTAATAAACTCATTAAAGCAGGGGCACAGCCTGGTATTGGACCGCTTGTTATCCATGCATTTGTAGTACTGATTGATTGCTTGAGTAAGACAGCCGTACTTTCTCAATGTCTCTCCCAAACCACTTGTTCTTAGCACATCAAAGCCCTCCAAGATCTCGGTTGTGAAACAACTAATGCAATCATTGGAAATCAGAAATAGAAATAATAAATAAAGTAAAAAAGAAAAGCAGAAAAGACATCATTGGTGGATCCAAAAAAACAACTTACGCTGTTTTGATGCTATCGGCAGCAGTACAAGAATTTGGATCTCCTTCAACGACATACATCATCTTCTTGAGTCCACACCTCTTTTCATAAATCAACCGAAAACCCATATTAATTCAAAAATTACTCAATTATAGCATATTAATTCACTACATCTCTTGAATTTTGGGAACCGACTCATCTAAAAGCTTAAATGGTTAGACAGAGGACACTTTTTTATTTACTTAATAATGCTTTTCACATGCCCCCTTGGGCCGGGTCAGATTCTTTCTTTTTTTCCATGAGCCAACCATGAGGAAACCTTTTCTATGATAGATGTGGGTTAGACTCAAACTCAAGAACTTTCTGTGATCTGGTTGCACATTGAGTTTCACCTAAAAGTCTAAGCTGTCAAAGAAATGACGTTTTTTATTCACTAGTCCTTAACAATGCTGACAAAAATGACTCAATCCCAAAAATCATTTTCAATACTATTGGATATCAAATTGTCTAACTCACTGAGCAAAAGGCAGTCTAAAACGAAAATGCAAGTACAGATAAGACAAGGATATAATTGCCTGCTCTCTCTCAGTGTGATAAAATAAAACTAGTTATATTTTTTTTAAAATAGGTAAAACTAGTTACTCAATTTAGTATTTACCATTACCTGCAAGAGACTAAACGACACTTTTACTTTCTCTCTCTTTTTTTCCTTTATTGTTGATAAGTCAGACAATTTCAATTACAAAACATCATGCCGGTCTGTCGAGCAGATTAAACTGCACTTTTGCTTTTGGACAGCGATGTACATACTCATACAGATCATCGGGCTATGTCAATATATCATTGTTGTGGAAGGCTGAGGACAAAGAAAAATAATTAAAAGCTAGAAGTTACAAAAAGACAGAAGTCAAATACACACAAGTAAATAGAAACCACAGCATATAGAAGTACTCAAAAAGCACCAAAAGAAAAGAGATAAGAAAATACCAAAATCCGCAGCTTCTGATCTCTATATCGGTTATCCCTGATTGAACTTTGCAAATCTTCAACATTCTTCCTCTCCACAATAAAGTCAAGAACGTATTCAGTGCCAATAACTTTGTTACGAGCTATCCAGATTGCATCACCAACAGGCAAGCGCCTAACCTATGGAAGTGCCAAAATAATCTTACATCTATCAGCTGTGGTGGAATATATTGGGAGGCAGTAGTTTCAACAACTTTGCTATATGCTTCTTAGTGCTTGAACATTCTGCATGGCCGTTGGATACTTGAGATAGCCACCTGTAGATGCTATGAGACCCTAAGCCTTGTTGAGGCAGTAAGCATCACAACTACAGTGCTAATACCCTTTAGAAGGACTAAGTATTTGATTCAAACATGGATAAAGTTGCTAGAAATCCTTTTCCTTTTTTTTTAATTTGATAAAATGAAATTGCTAGAAATATAAGTACTGAAAACTAAGAAAAGAAGAAATTGCCAGCAGTCCTTTCTACAATTATAAAGTACCAGGCTACCAGCCTCTACCAAACAAGCATGGATACAAGGAGAATCTTCAAGTAAATGAAAGCTGACAAAAATATTTGACAAATACTTATTTCATATAATTGTTCCTGTCTCACTTAATAGATGAAAGCACAAGAAAAGAGAAACACAATTCCAGATATTCACCTCTATTTCAATTTTAAATTGCGTGCTGATGTTTTCAATTATCTTCCTGGAACGCGACCTGGTAAATACAACGACACAGATTTCAACGAGTCCACAAGAAAGCCAATTAAACATCATTTTTCCGGGGGG